GCAGAACTGTGATCTGGGTCCGGTTCCCCGGCTGGGCATTCCTGTGGTGAGAGCGTGGTCTTGCCTAGAAGGGGCCTGGGCACCTGTCCATGTTTCCTTATAAGCACAGGGGATGTGGGGCAACCTTTTATAATGGGTGCTCCAAGCCCCAAGTCCAGCAGGATGGGGCACAGCAAGCCGTTGGGCTTCTTGTCCACCATTCCCCACAGTGCTGGGACTCTGGGACCAGGGGCCCCCTGGAGGGCATTGGGGCCAGTGAGAACCACACAGCACCTCGATGCCAGCAGGTTCACGTGCTTCCAGATGCATCTGGGCCAGTGAAGGTGGGTGTGGGCTCTTCCTGCCACCTGTGGCTCACCTGGAATGCCACACCTGAGGCCTCACCATAGACCCCCCTCCCCCTCCCCCCTCCACCCCCAGGAAACCACACACTGCAGCATGGGCCAGACACTCAGCCAGGATGGGGGCCCCCAGCCCTTGCTCAGCCCGAGTCAGGGAGGTCCCTGGGGGCCCAAGTTTACTGGTCTCCTTTCTCTGGGAATACATTGCAACAACCTTCCTCCTTTAAAATATCTGTTCATTGGCCGGGTGCGGTGGTTCACACCTGTAATTCCAGCACTTTGGGAGGCCAAGGCAGGTGGATCATGAGGTCAGGAGTTCAAGGCCAGCCTGGCCAAGATGGTGAAACCCCATCTCTACTAAAATTACAAAAATTAGCCAGGCACGGTGGCAGGCGCCTGTAATCCCGGCTACTCGGGAAGCTGAGGCAGGAGAACCACTTGAACCTGGGCGGCAGAGGTTGTAGTGAGCCAAGATCGCACCACCGTACTCCAGCCTGCGCGACAGAGTGAGACTCAGTTTCAAAAATAAATAAATAAATAAATAAAATATCTGTTCATCAAAAACAAAGTTGCAGATAGACATACTAAAATAAAAGGCATGTTGTTAACTGAAGAGAAACACACAGAAGCCATTGTTGCACTCGCTCTTGGAACTATATATAAATATGTGTCTAATTATGACAATAGATATCACTCCCTATTTAAAAAACGTCCCAAGGTCACCTCTGGGTGTGCGGTTAAAAGCAATTTTCATTTTCTGGTTTGGGTGGACTCTAGTTCCATATTAACTGCAGTGTTACTTTCATAACAACAAGTTCAAAAAACAGAAAAAGTCCTCAACTTGAAAAAGCATCAGAAAGTCAGGTGGGCGGGTGAGCAGAGGTGTGATAAAGTGAATATGGCAAAAATGATCATCACGGGACTGAGACGTCAAACGCGTGGATTCCTCTCGTTCATTTCTTTTCATTTTTTTGTATGTTGCAAAAATTTCATAATAAAATATTTAGGGAAATCTATAAGGCATCACCAAAATGGTGGTTTTTATCACCCAGAAAAATTACAAAAACCAATTCCCAACATTGACCCACACTCATTTTCTCTACTGACTCCCACTTTGGAATGTTGAAAATAAGACTGCTTTAAGAAGATGATCTCGGCCAGTGCGGTGGCTCACGCCTGTCATCCCAGCACCTTGGGAGGCTGAGGCAGGTGGATCACTTGAGGTCAGGAGTTTGAGACCAGCCTGGCCAACATGGCGAAACTCCATCTCTGCTAAAAATACAAAAACTAGCAGGGCCTGGTGGCACGCACCTGTAATCCCAGCTACTCGGGAGGCTGAGGCAGGAGAATGGCTTGAGCCTGGGAGACGGAAGTTGTGGTGAGCCAAGATGGCACCAATGCACTCCAGCCTGGGTGACAGAGAGAATCCTGTTTCCAAAAAAACACAAAAAACAAAAAACAAACAAACAAAAGAAGATGATCTCTACTGCAAAGATGTGCAAAGATGTTCAGCTTCTCAGCAGAGGGCCTTGTGGATCTGCTAGTCCCTACAGCTGCAAGCACACAGCTGAGTGAAGCACGGCAAAGAGCTCAGGCTCTGACCTTGAATCCCAGCTGTCTGACTTTGGCAAGTTCCATAACCATTCAGAACCTCAGTCTCTTCTTGCGTTGAATCAGAGTGCTTACAGTGCCTTCTTCATAAGAGCAGGGTGTGAGTAAATGGGTGGGGTGGCCGACTGTTC